GGCGGTCAAAAAGGCAAATAGGATGCTAAGAATTATTAGGAAAGAGATAGAAAATAAGAACCAGAATATCTTACTGCCCTGTATAAAACTATGGTATGCCCACATCTTGAATACTGTGTACAGATGTGGTCTCCTCACCTCAAAAAAGATATTTTGGCCTTGGAAAGGGTTCAGAAAAGGGCAACTAAAATGATTAGGGGTTTGGAACGGGTCCCATATGAGGAGAGGTTAAAGCGACTGGGACTTTTCAGTTTAGAGAAGAGGAGACTGAGGGGGGATATGATAGAGGTCTATAAAATCATGAGTGGCGTGGAGAGGGCAGATAAAGAAAAGTTATTTATTAGTTCCCTAAATAGAAGAACTAGAGGACACCAAATGAAATTAATGGGTAGCAGGTTTAAAACTAATAAAAGAAAGTTCTTCTTCACACAGCGTGTAGTCTACCTGTGGAACTCCTTGCCAGAGGAGGCTGTGAAGGCTAGGACTATAATAGAGTTTAAAGAGAAGCTAGATAATTTCATGGAGGTTAGGTCCATAAAAGGCTATTAGCCAGGGGATAAAATGGTGTCCTTGGCCTTTGTTTGTCAGAGGCTGGAGAGGGATGGCAGGAGACAAATCGCTTGATCATTGTCTTCGGTCCACCCTCTCTGGGGCACCTGGTGCTGGCCACTGTCGGCAGACAAGATATTGGGCTAGATGGACCTTTGGTCTGACCCAGTACGGCCATTCTTATGTTCTTATGTTCTCTTCTACTGGCTGACTGAGAGTCACCTCTGGCTGTGGATTAAGGGGGCATAGTCTGGTGGCTCCCCGCACTCCGTGACATCCATGTATTGTGGCAAAGCTCCAAGCATGCCCTGAGGATCCTGCACTTCTTGGTGGTTAGTGTTTGCCTCAGAGACTCCCTGTGACCCTCCACACAGCCTCTGGCCCTTTACTAGAGGCCAAGATCTCCACCTTCTGTGCCATCCTTTATCATAGGCTGGTCCATGGTTTGGGATGAAACCCCTCTATGGTCCTGGTCCCTCCTCTCAGGGGCAGGTTCTGTGATGGTGTGGAGAGGTTTGGGGAGAACTAGGGCTTGCCCACTACTCCAGTTTTTGGCCCAGGGACCCTAAGGCAATGGCAATTGACAGCATTTCTTCTACTCCTACTCCCCGACTTTCAGCCTTTTTCCTGGGGCCACTTCCCCAAACGATCCCCCCAGCATCTTCTTCCTAGTACCTGAGCAATACTTCCTGCCCCTCCACAGCCCTCTTCCATGCTCCCAGTTCTTTGCTCTCTCAGTGCACCTCTTCACTCCTAGTCCTTGTCCTTCTTCCCTCCCTTTTCTGAGGGGAAGCCTTTTAAATAGGTGTCATGGGGCGTGTGGGAGTCACCGGGCCCTGAACCTCCATTCACAATCACATGTCACTGTCAGCCAGCAAGTAGAACAGGAAGTGTGTTGGTTCACAGGGACACAGCGTAGCTCAGACTTCTTGTTACAGGAACTGGGAACATTCAATACAATCCATCTTGGAGAAAGAAGGGCCCAGAGCCACCTCTCATCCCTCTCCAGGCTGCCATACTCCCTCCTTTGTTCAGATTCCTGGTAAAAGACTCACCTGACTGAACCCTCTATCTAGTTCAGGTGTCAGACGGGCCGGGGCTTCCCCTCAGGAGTCCTCCCCCAGAGATCCCATCCCCCACTGGGCGCCACACCACAGAGTCCTTACAGAGCAGCATAAGACAGTAGGAATTAAAAAGGGCTCTAGAGGCGATCCTGGCAATTACAGACCGGTAAGTCTAACTTCAGTACTGGGCAAATTAGTAGAAACAATAGTGAAGAATAAAATTGTGAAGTATGTAAAAGAACATAATTTGTTGGACAAAAGTCAGCATGGTTTCTGTAAAGGAAAATCCTGTCTTACTAATCTATTAGAGTTCTTTGAAGGAGTTAACAAACATGCGGATAAGGAGGATCCAGTAGATATAGTATACTTAGACTTTCAGAAAGCGTTTGACAAGGTCCCTCACCAAAGGCTCTTGTGTAAATTACATGGCCATGGGATAAGAGGGAAGGCCCTTTCTTGGATTGAGAACTGGCTAAAAGACAGGAAACAAAGGGTAGGAATAAATGGTAAATTTTCAGATTGGAGAGGGGTAACTAGTGGTGTCCCCCAAGGGTCAGTCCTGGGACCAATCCTTTTCAACTTATTCATAAATGATCTGGAGAAAGGGGTAAGCAGTGAGGTAGTAAAGTTTGCAGATGATACAAAACTGTTTAGGATAGTCAAGACAGAAGCAGACTGTGAGGGACTCCAAGAAGATCTCACCAAACTGAGTGATTGGGCAACAAAATGGCAAATGAAATTTAATGTGGATAAATGCAAAGTAATGCACATCGGGAAAAATAACCCCAACTATACGTACAGTATGATGGGGGCTAATTTGGCTACAACAAATCAGAAAAGGGATCTTGGAGTTATCGTGGACAGTTCTCTGAAAACTTCCACACAGAGTGCAGCGGCGGTCAAAAAGGCAAATAGGATGCTAGGAATTATTAGGAAAGGGATAGAAAATAAGACCCAGAATATCTTACTGCCCCTGTATAAAACTATGGTACGCCCACATCTTGAATACTGTGTACAGATGTGGTCTCCTCACCTCAAAAAAGATATTTTGGCCTTGGAAAGGGTTCAGAAAAGGGCAACTAAAATGATTAGGGGTTTGGAACGGGTCCCATATGAGGAGAGGTTAAAGCGACTGGGACTTTTCAGTTTAGAAAAGAGGAGACTGAGGGGGGATATGATAGAGGTCTATAAAATCATGAGTGGTGTGGAGAGGGCTGATAAAGAAAAGTTATTTATTAGTTCCCATAATAGAAGAACTAGAGGACACCAAATGAAATTAATGGATAGCAGGTTTAAAACTAATAAAAGAAAGTTCTTCTTCACACAGCGTGTAGTCAACCTGTGGAACTCCTTGCCAGAGGAGGCTGTGAAGGCTAGGACTATAATAGAGTTTAAAGAGAAGCTAGATAATTTCATGGAGGTTAGGTCCATAAAAGGCTATTAGCCAGGGGATAAAATGGTGTCCTTGGCCTCTGTTTGTCAGAGGCGAGAGATGGCAGAAGACAAATCGCTTGATCATTGTCTTCGGTCCACCCTTTCTGGGGCACCTGGTGCTGGCCACTGTCGGCAGACAGCATACTGGGCTAGAAGGACCTTTGGTCTGACCCAGTACAGCCATTCTTATGTTCTTATGAATCACACACAGCACAACAAAGCAACCAGTGAATATAAAAACAGGTGAACACACAGGACTACAGGAGTGAACACAATCCCCACTATGTCACAACTCTCCCCACTTCAAGGGTCACTCAGCTGGTGATCTGGGGAAGTTCAGTCTCCTCTCTCCATGCCAGCACATCAGCCAGGACTTGGCACTGTCCTTAACACCAAACCTTCCACGTCACAGTCTGCCAGGAGCAGCCTCCATCTCAATAGCTCAGTGCTGGGCCCTTGCAGTTGTGGTGTAGCCCCTGGATCTGTCTGTCTGCTCCCAGTTGGGACAGAATCTAGCTCCATGGAGGACTCATTCACTCGCAACAGTGCCATTAGCTGGGCGTTGCTGGATCCTCCGATTTTTCTCCATCTCTACCTGCACAGCTTGACAATGTCCCTCCTCGGACAAACATTTAGAGAAATTCTCTCCTTGGTCTCAAGTAGGACTGGCAAGCCACAGACAACTTCCCAGAGTCACAACCCCCCATTTCTAGTTATCTCCTTGTTAGTTACAGTAGCTGAGTTACATCCATGCTTGCTTTGGAGCTGGGGTAAAAGAGCCACCTGATTACACAGATCTGCCACGTCATAATCACACCACAGATCCACCTGATTACACAGATCTGCCATGTCATAATCACACCACAGACCCGCCCAGTTATACACTGAACCCCCAAGAGGAACAGTTTCTGCTGCTCTTCCATTTTCCTAAGAGAGAGTTCAAGTCTGGCAGTTTTCTCCTTAGCTTCTCTGGTTCTTCTATCCAACTCTGCCTGTTCCCAGCCTGCCTCAGCCCTTTTCTGCTCGGCTAGAAGCCTAAACGCTTCAGTTTCTTCTTACGTGTAAGTTGCAATCTCCTACTGGATCCTGCTCCTCTCACTTCTTCTGCAACATCTCTGGCCAGTAGCAAAGATCTCAGTCCTCGATTAGAAGCTTTTTCCCAAAAGGTGATTCTTCTTTCAGAGAATAAATGTTGCAGGGCTTTTTACAAAGACCCTCAGACTGTAGCTGGCTCATTGCAGCTGCTCTTTAAACAACAATACTCTCAATACCTAATTCAAATTTAGAAGAACATGGAGTCCTGACCCAAAGCTCGATTGACCAGATTCTGTGGATCCTGCCTGGCTCAGCACGGTAATATCCCAGGCTGCCTAAAACAGGCTGCATCCTTGCAAGGTGTATCACGGAGATAACAATATCCTTGCACTCTTTTACAAACCCAGAGTAAACCTTGGTAAGTACAATAGTGGATCGGATCTGCTTTTGCACCATGATCCCCATGTGTATCATTTCTAACATGTTCCACAGTTTTTTCCAACGAGCATTCACACGGGTTACAGAACTTACCATCAGCAATCAGAACAAATCTACTACGGTGCACATTTCCAGTTCCTTTTGTCAGGCCACAACATTGGCTCAATGCCAACGGAGTTCTGACAATTCAAGGCTAAACTGCAGCTTTCTTTTGTGCAAGCAAGTTTTTTTATTTCCCCTTCACCCTATGGGCTCATATCCTGAAGTACCCATGCCTAACCGAGGCAAAAGGCTGGCTGAGTGTGTCCCCTCTGCTCACAATAACCAGGGAGTTTTTCTCCCCCACCTGTCAGTCAGTCAGGTAACATGTATCATCACAGACACTAATATTTCCCTCTGCTTTCAGCTTAGTTCTCCACTTTGGTCTCTGCCTTGAAGACACAGGATCCATTTAACTTGCCTGTTAAGACTTACAAATCTCTTCTTTCTCCTCAGGACACGGGGATCGACCATCTCCCCACTGTTCCCAGAGGCGCAGACTCACAGGCCTATGCTGCAGCACGCCACGATTTCCAGGAAGAACCCCTTCAGTGTGCCAGCCTCCTTAGGGGTCATAACTCCCTGGGGTTAGATCATAGACCCCTCAGCCTCCTGGTCCCCAGAAAAAACCCTTCCTAGGGAGGACCCCCCCTTTCGAGGATCACACTCACGTTAGACAGCAGACATCTCTGCTTCCTGGAACTGCTTCTCACTGCCTCCAGCATGTCTGGCTCTTGCAAGCCCCCTTCTTTCTACTGTGCCCCCGTCACTTACTGACAGATGATCCCTTAGATCATAGACCCCTCAGCCTCCTGGTCCCCAGAAAAAACCCTTCCTAGGGAGGACCCCCCCTTTCGAGGATCACACTCACGTTAGACAGCAGACATCTCTGCTTCCTGGAACTGCTTCTCACTGCCTCCAGCATGTCTGGCTCTTGCAAGCCCCCTTCTTTCTACTGTGCCCCCGTCACTTACTGACAGATGATCCCTCCACGGGGTGCGCCGCCACTGTCCCCGAGTGTGTGGGAGTCACTGGATCCTGCACCCCCATCCGCAGTCACACGTGACTCTCAGCCAGCAGGTAGAACAGAAAGTGTGTTGGTTCACAGGGACACAGCGCAGCTCAGACGTCTTGTTCCAGGAACCAGGAGCAGTCAGTACAATCCATCTTTGAAAAAGGGGGACCCAGAGCCCCAGCTCTGGGCCCCTGCTCCAGACCCCCAAGCCAGGCTCCCTTCTCCCACAGGCAGCAGAAAAACTAACTTGCACTCACATCCACTGCTTCCCACCCCCCACTCCAGGCTGCCACACCCCCTCCTTTGTGCAGATTGCTAGGCAAAGAGTCACCTGACTGAACCCTCCACCTAGCTCAGGTGACAGGCCGGCCTGGGCCATTCCCTACATGCCTCCCCTCAGGAGTCCTCCCCCAGAGATCCCATCCCCCGCTGGGCACCACCCACACACAGAGTCCTTACAGAGTAGCATAGGACAGTAGGAATCACAAACAGCAAAACAAAGTAACCAGTGAATATAAAAACAATGAACACAGGACTACAAGGCTACGTCTAGACTGGCATGATTTTCCGCAAATGCTTTTAACAGAAAAGTTTTCCATTAAAAGCATTTGTGGAAAAGAGCGTCTGGATTGGCACGGACACTTTTCCGCAAAAGCACTTTTTGTGGAAAAGCCTCCGTGCCAATCTAGACGCGCTTTTGCGCAAAACAAATCTGAGCTGTCTACACTGTGCAAAAGCTTGTGCGCAAAAGGACTTTTGCCCGAACGGGAGCAGCATAGCATTTCCACAAGAAGCACTGATTTCAGACAGTAGGAAGTCAGTGTTCTTGTGGAAATTCAAGCGGCCAGTGTAGACAGCTGGCAAGTTTTTCTGCAAAAGCAGCTGTTTTTGCGGAAAAACTTGCCAGTCTAAGTTTAAGTCCAAGACTGGACAAAATCCCCACTATGTCACAACTGGCCCTAGCAGGCCTTAATTGGTTGCAGTGCCCTGATTAGCCTGCTGCTTCAGGCAAGCTTTTAATTGACCCCAAGTGCATGCCTGCCTTGATTATGTGACAGAAGTGCCTGGCCAGTTCACTCAAGGAACAGAAAATTATATACCCAGTTTCCTGCATATTTGCCCTCCATCACACTACAGCTGCCCTGGGTCTGTCACTATATGTGTATTTTGTTGGGTTTTATTTCTTTTATTAATGTTTGGATTCACCCCTTTGGATTCAGCCACTTGTTTCTCTTAACAATGACATCATACCCTCCATAGACATGTTCATCAAATTTCCCTTCTCACGTTGCTTCATGTTGGGGGAAAATAATGTGGCAGCTTTAACAAAGACAAACATCGTATAAATCACATGCAATTGACAGAATAGGGGTGGAACTTTGCATCTTTTCTTGAGACATAAATAGTAGTGATATCAGCAGGAGGTGGGCTGACATCCTAGCCTATGGGGTGGAGAAGAATCATTGTCTTGAATATTAAAAAAAAAATCATGAGAACAGGATGTCTGACAAAAAATGAAGTCAGCAGAATTGAATCTTCATGGGCCACAGATCTCATAAACTTTGAAAGTTTTTACAACAGACACAAGAGGATATAGGGAAACATGCCATTCCGGTATTGCATGCAAATGCAGACACATTAAACATGGCTAAATCTGAAAAAAAAATCACTGCATCTCATTGGTACAATATTTTCATAGTTTGGTCCCCTGCATCCAAGTACACACTTATCTATAGTAAAACCTGTGTTATCTGGCACATTCAAGGATTAGGGCGTTCTGGTTATTTAAAAATTCTGATTATCTGAGGGTCCTATCAACCTAGGAAAAACTAATGGACAATAATAGTAAAACTCAAATTTTGGATATGTACCAATGTAAACTATATTATAATCAATATAAACACAATGCTAAGTATATAGAGGACAATAAAAGAAGTAACATTTAGTCTTTTTTATTAAAAAGAAACAGTACTGTAATTACTATAAGGCTTTGGAAAGGTTAACTGTTAGTAGATCAGTGAGTTATATTGGCCTAATAGGAAATTTGCCGGTTTCTAAAGTTTTCCAGATAGCTAAGTGCCGGATAGTACAAGTGTGTATCAGAAATTCTGGTTAACTGAGTTTTCTGGTTAATTAAGTGCAGATAACAGAGGTTTTACTGTACTATGTTCCACCTTTTGCTAATTGTATTGATGTTGTGCTGCATTTGCCTGATGTTTATATGTGCTGTGTATTGCTGGATAAAGAAAATGCATGCCAAGCTGATGCATACCTCAGATTGACGTCACCTCTCAATATATTGCTTTAAGGCAATTACACACTAAAGTGACCCATTCCACTGATGAAAGTTGAAGCTTGGCAAAGACTCACAATTAAGCTCCTCCACACCAGTCCTCTCTTGGACCTCAGAGAGAGACTGCAAGAAGGAGGCTTGCTCTAGCAAAGCTGCAGGGGTCCCCGAGGTTTCCCTGCCCCGCCCCCTTGCTCTACCTGGCTGATTTCAAGATCGCTCTGTGAGGTCACAGCCTCCTCACCACCTTTGATCAAATAGGCTGAGTGTGCTGAAAGCCCTTGTGCCACACCCACCCTGCCACACCCACCTTTCCATTGCAGGGCTGATGCCTGCCCAGACCAGCCCAGTTGGGTGTTTGAGCTGCTCCCCAGGTAACCCCAGTATTCGGATACACTCATATCCTCAATCACAGCCCTGAGACTATGTCTGCAAGGCAGGGTTTTTGTGCAAGAAGCTTTTTGCGGAAGAGATCTTCTGCAAAAACTTCTTGCACAAAAGCACATCCGCACCTCAAAAGCACATCGCATGGATACTCTCTTGCAAGAAAGCTCTGATTGCTATTCACAGAATGGCCACCAAATCACCTGTGTTTTTTTCCATTGGCACTTTCAGCACAAAACCCCCTGCTGAGCATCTACATACAACTTTTTGTGCAAAAATTCTTGTGCAAAAAGGAGTTATTCCTCGTAGAAGGAGGTATACCTACACCACCAAAAGCCCTCTGTTCTGCTGTTCTACTGTAAATTTTCTTGTGCAAAAACACGCTTGAGGTGTGGACACTCTGTGGGGTTTTGCACAAAAACGGTCGTTTTTGAGCATAAACCCTGTAGTGTAGATGTAGCCTGAGACATTTCTCACTCAATCCAACAAACTTCATCTCAATTTCAACTCTTGGAAATGGTCAGACTTGTGTTTGAGAATTCTTGATTAATGTCACGGAGAATAGGCTGTTTCTAAGAACTGAAATTGGGATATGAGGAGATTTGCTGGACAGAGCGGGAACTGTCTCATGGCTGTGATTGAGAGATGAGTCTATCCAAATATTGGAGTAGGAAGTGTCTCACAGGCGAGACTGGGATATGAGGATATTTGCTCAATGGAGTGTTCGAAATACCTCCAAGCTATATCTGAGCTTAATTGAATCTTGGTGCAGGTTGTGTGTCAGGGCTATGTTTGAGATATCGTAAGTCTCCGTTAGTGCGGGAAGAGTCACAGAGAGTAGGTCGTTTCCAAGAGTAGAAGCTGGGATAAAAGATTTGTTGAATTAAGCCGGAAATGTCTCAGGGCTGTGCTCAAGGCATGAGAGTAACCGAATTTTGGAGTAGGACATGCCCCAGAGTTGAGATTGGTTTCTGAGGATCCATGTGGACTAGTGTTGGCCAGGTCTCAGAGCTGTGACCGAGAGATGAGGAGATGTGTTGGTTAGTGAGGGAAGCATGGGAGAGTTGTGATTGAGAGGATTGGTTGGTTAATGAAGGAAGTGACTTAGTGCTGTGAATGAAAGGTGAGGGGCTCTGGGGATTAGAGCAGGCCATTTCCGAGAGCTGAGATTGAGGTATGAGATTTGTTGGATTGAGTGGTAAATGGGGTGGGAACCAAGAATGAGGGGTTCAGTGCATGGGAGGGGGCTGCCAGGGAGAGGACTGGGGTGGGGATATGGGGTCTGTGTGGAGATAGGGTACAGGATGGGAGTTAGAGGATGGCGCCTGGGTGGGAGAGGGCAGTGGACTGTGTCCCCTCCTGGGTGCAGCTCTCAGGGGGCCACAAGTGGGTCCCTGCAGTTCTGTGCATTACAGGGAAGAGATGTCTGCGGGCACCACCCCCCACTATTCCCTTCGGCCACAACTGGGAACACTTCCCTGCAGCATGCAGAGCCACTTCCTCCCCTACCAGGCAAAACCCGTGGGCTGGATCCAGCCCCAGCTTATGATGACTGGGCCAGGAAGGCTCAGGGACCTCCCTCCCTGCAGCAGGGGGCAACACCGGTGCCCCATGCAGTTGAAATGCCAGCATCAACTCACTCTGCTGCAGAGCAAGGAAAAAGGAACCCCAAGCCAGATCCAGCTCGTGAGCCACAGGTTCCCCATCCCAGCATTAAAGGGCACTTGAAAATACCAGGGATATACCATAAACTTAACTATCTCCCTGTTCTGCACCTTTGGAATCTACTCCCAAGTGGCCATGCAAGGTCCGGAGAGGTCGCCCACGCCAGCATTCTGAAAACGCCCCGGGCTTTGTCATTTTTCCCCTGCCCGCGCTTCTGAACATGTGGACCATAATGGCTAAGAAACAAGAAAAAACCATTCCTGAGGACTCCCCTGGGCCTGAAGAATTCCTGTGTATTTGCCCAAACTATGGCAAGAAATACAAACTCTAAGGGACCGCCCTGTGTCTTGGCTCACAATCTTTATTGGACTCAACAAAATTGACGCAGCAACGTACATTGGGGACAAACAAGCACCGGAGATGTCAATATGGAACATGCCAGCTTAGTGGCTGTGGAGTTGTGTAAAAACACCATACCCTTGTAAATACACAAACAACTGCTTGAGCTGTGGTACAGAGCGACAATCCCCCTCTGGATCCCTAAACGGTGTTTGAGTCTCCCTCCTGCACATAGAGAGACTGAAAAGGGAGGTTACCAGATCTCCCATCATCCGCATCCCTTGTTCGGGCTTTGAACGGCATC